TAATCCTTCCAAGCGGCAACGGGCACATCTTCCTGACACAGCAAGTGTGAGCAGCGTGAGCAGCATTCAAGTCAGTGGTTATAATGATAGCAAGAACCGGCGATATGGAGGCCTCATATGTGGAGACACCGGCACAGCTGCAGCCACGTTGATAGTGGGACCAAGCCGCGAGGGCACAGCCAGGCACAAGGCTCAAAGGGGAACACAGAAAAGGCGCCAGATTAGGTGAAACAGGGGATGAAATAAGCATATCAGGGGATTGTCCTCAACTCAGGCTACTATTGCGCATGGCAGTGTCAGGCAACAAACATGACATGGGATGTTACACATTGCTTCGGTGCACATCGATGAGCTAAATGTAGGGTGCAAATATATATCCCCACTTCAGATAGGTATGTTGAGCTCGAAGAAGCAACACATATTTCTTAGGTGTTAAGTGAGCAAGGTGCAATCAAGGTTGGATCAATAAAAGCACCTGTAGACAGAGAAATTATCTGAACACAGATCAGTGTAGCTGGCATCATAGCAAGAGTCCGTTTCCATCCCATACCGCATCTCCAAACTCACGTCCCTCTTCCTCCAATCCTCACCTCCCGTTACACTCTTCCCTTACCCAACTCCCACACCTCCCGTTTCCCCACCCCGCCCCTCCCCCCAACCCCTTATTTCCGCCCTCCACCACCTATTGCTCCTCCCGCCCGTCAGCTTTCCAAACCACCCTAAGGGCGCGTGACATAGAGGAAATGCAAAGTCCGTACCGAGTGAACCTACAATGGGTTTGGACTCGTCAACATTCGAGGCTCGAAAAACAAGCTACACAGTTGCAAATTTTGCAAGCTGCATTCGGCAACCTGTCAAGGGCACAACGCGGTACGTCCGCGCGGTACGTAGACAGCCCATAGTCGGTCATGTAGCATCGCCGCTGTTCGTTTTGGGCGTGCGATGATCGCGAAATGACGCGGCGGGTCTGATGAAACCTATCTTTACGAGTCGTTATCAATTACCAACCGTTTCCGATCTTTCACGAAATTCTGATCGCGGGCAATGAATGGCACGTGTGCCGTCAAGCTTGACGTCAAGTTCGGACGTTTGTTTGGCAGTTTCGAGCGCGCTCGAACGAACCCCATCTTTTAAGCGGGACGAACCTGGGTGTGACGCAACATCACGAGGGTATTTACGAAAGCCTTCGCAAGCTTTGCCAATGCGTAACCATCTAAAATTACGTACCTCAATCCTGATACGTTCAAAATGTCACGTGCCCTAAGAGCGTGTCCAAAGTGTAATTTTTGCGGATGACATAACGGATGACAGAGGGTGCCAAACCATTCTGGCGCGTCCAAAGTGCAGTGCAGGGACCCTGGCTGAATGGATGCAGCCCGATGATACAACGGATGACAGACTACAGTCCAAGATACCGGAACAGTCTGGTCGGGCACGATAACGGGACAATGCACGCCAAAAACTATATACAATTTTGGCGCCACAAGCACGAAATGACGAGTTGCGAAGTACAGCTACGAGCAATCCTCGAAACTCGCACATGCATGCAAAAAACATGCAGCTCGCCAATGCCTGATTCAGCTGCCTGTTTCAGGATTGACGAAGATGACGAGGTCTGGCGGGAGAAAGCGTAACATTTGAATCACAAGTTTGAATTTCGAAATGTCTGGCCATAGCCGCCCGCAAATGGCACATGTGACACTGTTACGTTGGGTGCTTTGATTGTTGGCGTCCAAAGTGCAATTCCGTAGTTGCTGTCATCCGCGGATCATCCGTTGGATGACAGAACTGGTGACAAATTACACTTTGGACACGTTCTAACATGAGTCCCCACAGCAAGTCCAGGTGAGTCTAGAAGGCATTTTACTTGCAATGCAAAGCTTCGATGATTGGCCTTCGATTTGTAGTTCCGCTTAGTTTAGCCGAAGCCTTGAGCTTTGATTCGCTTACGCGCTGCCATTTGATACGCTTCGCTGGACGAGCACTACAGTACTGTATTGGCCGCCCTATTACGTGGTTGAACCGTCCATCTGTGTCACACTGCACTTCGAGTTGGTCTCTGCTACCCATTTCCGTACTTCATCAAGCAGCTTCGCTGCATTCGCCTCGCCACGGCCAGAAGCGCATCCGTCTTTTACGGGATGCAAATCCGCAACTGCTGCTGACCCTATGGGCACTACTAGGGTCACATGCATGTGACACCAGCTCCTGTTGAGTCGCATCTGTCCTGCAAACTGGGCTTCCGTCGAACACGGTTTCTCTCTCTCCTCTCTCTCTCTCTCTCTCTCTCTCTCTCTCTCTCTCTCTCTCTCTCTCTCTCTCTCTCTCTCTTTCTCTCTCTCTCTATGTCTCTCTCTCTCTCTCTCTCTCTCTTTCTCTCTCTCTCTATGTCTCTCTCTCTCTCTCTCTCTCTCTCTCTCTCTCTCTCTCTCTCTCTCTCTCTCTCCTCTCTCTCTCTCTCTCTCTCTCTCTCTCTCTAGTAACAAGGCCCGTTTTCTAGGACAGATCCGACGCTAGCGGCTCGCCATGGCACCTCTGGCCGCCATTGAAGTGTGCGATGAAACGCGCGGCGGCCACGATCCAATCCACACGTGCCCCCCTTGTTTTCGGGCGGCTGCTGCTTACGATCCGATGTCCTTTTCACAGAGCCAATCGGTTTCCTCGCTGAACCCCTTCTTCCGCGCTTCAAATTTCTCGCGTCTGATCTCGGAGTCTCCCCAACGCACACCAGAGCCACCTGCTTCTCCATTCCTCAGCTCCACTCAATGCCGTTCATTTCGGGCTGCACACGCAAGGGTTGGGGGCACCTACCGTATTCTGAAAAGCAAGGTCGCTCGCTCAAACTACTTGTAGTAGTGCCAGTGAGTACTAGTACTTGGCCGTTCCCAGGCTGGCAGGGACCATGTAAAGCACAAGGTTTATAATGGAGGTGTTACAAGCTAGAAATGCAGAATAGTAACTAGATGCACCTCATAATGAACATCACCAAAAAGGGTTTGGCCCAGAGGTGACCTGAAGGTCTAGGGGTTGGCAAGGATCCCAAAAGTGTCATTTGGGACACAATCGGGTCACAATCGGGCCAAAAAATGCATGCAAGTGGCCTTCGTGTGACTCAGTTGTGATCCTTGCCAACCCTCAGACCTTCAGGTCACCTTTGGGATAGTTTTGGATTAGATTTGGGACATCACTTTTAGGCTTGTAGCCTTGGTTGTCTTGAACTTGCTTGAGAGTGGGGGAAGAAAGCCTTGGAGATATCTCCAAGGTTGAAGCTTGAGAGTAGTGATAGGTGGTGGTGAGAGAGTAACTCCTCTAAGGCTTGTGAGGAAAGAAATCTAACTTCGAGAAAATCCCATTTCCAACCTTGGTTTAGTGGAGTTGGAAAAAGAAGAATGAGCTTTGGAGCTCAAACCCCCTCCAATAACTCCTTGGGGAGCTCCTCCTCCTCCACGGCTACCAAGGGGAGGAGCTCCTAAGGTGTGATGTGCTTAGGTGGCAGTTTGATTGGATTTGCTATCCAACTGTAGGAGAGTTGTGCAATTTAGACTGGTTGTTGTTGGGTTTTTAGTAACCCAATTGGCAACATGTGGTTGGTTGGAAAAACCCAACCATTGGGTTGCACATATGGAGGCTTGGGATTTCCCAACCTCCAACAAGAAGGTTGGGGAAAACAATTGCTTTGGGGTTGGGTGGTTAACCACCAACCCAATTCCCCTCCAGCATTCCTTAGTCGGAACTCCCCCGATCGCGATCTTGCGTTGGACGCGCTAGGCAAGTCTAAGACTAGGGTAATGGGGTGCGTTACAGACCACCTCTTTCTATTCTCAAAGCTCGTTGTCCCAACATTTTCAGATCTCAGACTTCCAGGATGTCCAGTAGGCTCCGGAATCTCTTAATCTCAACTTGAAGTCTGGGTCGTCTCAGGACGACCGCCCGTCTTTTCCCCGGACGGCCCCTAACTCTACTACTACTACGCAATGGCGGATCGACCCAGGTCCGCAACGCCAACGTGGGAGGACAACCTGGATCGTTACCTTGAGTCAGTGGAGGCACCGCGCGAGCAAAGCCAACACGAGCATCTTTACCACGAGCAACAGCATGAGCATCATGAGCAACAGGACCAAACGCAGCAGCCGGCGCCGGCGGCGCCGCCATTGCTGCCGAGTCGCACCTCCTCCCTTTGTAGCAACGTTGCTATAAAGGAGCTTCTGTGGAGCCTAGGGCATCCTGGTCTGATTCCTTCCCTGCAGCGTTGGGGCAGCCCAAGGCCTTGGAACCTGCGGAAACCACCACTGGGACAGGTACAAATGAGGCACATGCATCCTAGTCTGGATCCTTTCCAGCAGCGGCAGTGCGGCAGCCAAAGGCTTCGGAACCAGGGAAACCCACCACCGTGACAGGTACATTTGAGGCGCATGCATCTTGGTGTGAATCCTTTCTAGTAGCGGCAGCGCGGCAGCCAAAGGTTTTGGAACCAAGGAAACCCACCACCGTTGTGAGGCGCATGCATCCTGGTCTGAATCCTTTCCAGCAGCAGCAGCGCGGCAGCCAAAGGCTTCGGAACCAGGAAAACCCACCATCGTGACAGGTACATCTGAGGCGCATGCATCCTGGTCTGATTGCTTCCCTGCAGCAGCAGCAGTAGTGCACTCCAAGGAAATGGAGCCCGCTACAACCATGACGGGTGCATCTATGGAGTCTGTATCCTGGCCAGGTTCCTTCCCTTCAGCAGCAGCAGTAGCGCAGCTCAAGAGTTTGGAACCCGCTACTACTGGCCCTTCAAGGCCTTCAAGACCAGTGCAAGCACGGTTTACTGAACTATACTTCCTGTCGATTCCAAACACACCAGCTCATCCCGAGGGCTTGGAACGTGCTGCTCCAGTCGGGCCATCGAGATCGCCTTTGAGGGCGCAAGCGCAGGCTTCCGCCGAACTGATAAAGCGCCCTGTGCCCATGCAAAGTAACGCTTTTAAGGGTTTGGAACGTGCTACCACCAGAACATCAATTCCGCCATTAAGGGTTCAAGCACGACCTTTCTCTGAACTGGTGATGCGGCACTCGGTTTCCGTGACTGGACGTAACTCTTCCAAGGTATGGGACACTTGGAGGCATCACCAAGTGACACATCAGCATACACTCCCACTGGAGACTAGCTTATGGATAGCTTGATGCGGGCAAGAAACCGTTCCTTCCCAATGCCCAATTTTTTCTTCACAAGGACGTACTGCTTATGCTTCTGCTGCTGCTGCTGCTGCTCGCTCTTCTGCTCCTCCTCTTACTTCTGCTGTCACTGTTGCTCCTGCGTCTGCCGGTAATGTCACCTCTGCCGCTGCATTTAGCAGCGCTAGCGACGCCTTGGGCTCCTGTCTGTCGTTCTGGACCAGGACGAGCACATTGCCAGTTGAGGTGCTACATCATTCTAATATCGCATCTGCAAGCACAAGCGATCCTGTTTCTAGAGGCTGGAGCAAGGAGTATGAAAGTACCAGCTGCTTCAAGTGACCGCAGCAACATCTTTCTTATGCATCCGGATTGAGGAGCCTCACCAACATTAAGATTGTAGGTTGTGATAATAATGACGAATATGGTGTTGTGAGATATGGGTTCGCAAGACCTCCAGCATAATCGCTAGAAGAAGACGTACCGACCCACTGGGGTTGCTCCGGGCACACGGCTCAAAGTAGGAGACAGCGAAGGTAGCAGTTCATGTGATACGGAGCAACTCCATCAGTATTGTATTCAATTTCATAGGATTTGAAATGTTATATCTAAAAATCATTGTCGTTGTTGCCAGGCCGAGTGTTATGAATAATAACTGAGAGTCCGCGGAATAATAATGACGAGTACAAGAAAGATAGCCTAGCGTTATATAGCGAGTGCTCTAGCTAGGCGATGAACCCGGAGGGCTAGGTTGGGTACAGGCGCGGTCGAAAGGGTCGGAGGCGGCACGGGCGTGCCTCGGGGTCGCGTCAGAAACGGACCGAGCCTGGTCTTCCGAGAGTTCGGGTGTACGCGATTGCAGTACAATCCGGTAAGGAATAAAATTCCTTACACTACCCCCCCCCTAAGGAAGGTGATTAACATCGGGAACGCCTTTTCGGGTCAAATAAGATTTGAGCACCGAGTGTTCCTGAAGCGAGGCGGAAGTGATCCATGTCTCGTCTTCGCTTGTACGGTCAACCCAGCGGACAAGAAAATCCACGTGGCGACCGTTGAGTCGAGGCGGATGCGATGACTCAGAAACCGGAAAGGCTCAAGGGTCGGTTCAGCCATCGGGCGGACACTTGGGGCGGCCGCTGGGCGTGCGACTGCAGATGTGCTGGCGACGTAGGGACGAAGCAGGCTGACGTGGAAGGCGTCGTGAATGCGCCACTCGTCCGGAAGTAATAATTTCGCTGTGAGTGACAGGTGTCACCATCTTGACAATACGAAAAGGTCCACAGAATCGCGGGCGAAGTTTTGAAGGCAAGGGCAGGCGAAGGTTCTTCGTGTCGAGAAGGACTAGTTGCCCTGCAGCCATGGTGATATCGTGGCGATGAAGATCTGTATAGCGGCGGGCGGTTGTGTTGGACTTGCGAATGAATTCGATCCCTTTTTCGGGCCTCCTGCAAACTGTTCACGAACTGCTGGGAAACGTGGCACTGGGTTGTCGATGTTGGTAGTCGTCGGACTGTCGGATCCATGCCGTAGTTTAGAAAAAACGACGAGTGATTAGTCGTGGCGGATGGGGCATTGTTGTACGAAAATTCCAGCTTGGGCAGGAATTCTTCCCACCGGGCAGGATCCGCAGTTGGTGCGTATCAGCTGCTCCATAGTTTGATTGGTTCGCTCTGTCTGTCCGTCGGTTTGAGGATGGTAGGCAGAGGAAAACTGGAGGCGTGTGCCGTACTGCCCCCATGTCTCCTGCCAGAACTTGGACGTGAATTTTGGGTCGCGGTCGCTGATGATCGCTGAGGGTAGGCCGTGCAGACGAACAACGGTGGAGATGAAAAGCTTCGCTGTATCTTCGGCTGTGATTGTTGTGCGACAGGGTGCGAAGTGTGCCATCTTCGTCAGACGATCGACGACGACAGGACGGCGTCGTTGCCCGTGGCGGCGGCCGGGAGCCCCGTGACGAAGTCCATCGTCACATGTTGCCACGTCGCTGGGGTGGCTCGAGCGGTTGCAGCAGTCCAGCTGGCCGCCGTCGGAAGACTTCATTGTTGGCAGATCGGGCACGCGGATACGTATCTCTGCACATCAGACGCCGAATCAGGCCAATAATAAAAACGGTGAAGTAACTTCTGGGTTTTATCAACCCCAAAATGACCGGAGAGGTTAGAATCGTGGACTTCTTGAATAAGTAATTCGCGGAGGAGTCTGTAGGCGGGAACCCAGATACGGTCAGTACCGCTTTTAGAAGTAGGGTCCGGCTGTGGTGGTGTTGGTGGTGGTTGCGGGTGAAAAAGGGGTCTGTGGTATAGCCGTGGGTAAATAGGCCAGTGAGCAGCGGGTTGGATTTTGCGACGATGATGGAGGCGAGGTGGGCGGATGGTCTTGTCAGCGCGTGCGATGTTATTCGCTCCCCGTTTGTACGTGATGGTGTAGTGGAAGTTGCTTTCGAGGAAGTCCAGCCAGCGAATCTGCCGTGGATTTAGATTCGGCTGCGCGCGGAGGTACTGTAGGGATTTATGGTCTGTCCGTACTGTCACGTCGGCTCCCGTCAGGTAGCATCGCCACACCTTGAATGCGTGCACGATGGCGAGCATTTCTTTGTCGTGGACGGGTAGTTGCGCTCGGCTGCCTGCAACTTCCTAGACTCATACGCGATGGGTTGGAGTCCGTCGCCGAAATCTTGTAACAGTATCGCACCGATGGCGAAATCGCTAGCGTCCGTCAAGACTTCGAATGGTCGAGATGGGTCGGCGATTCGGAGGACCGGGGGCGACGTCAGAAAATTTCGCAGTTCATCGAAAGCAGTCTGCTGTCTCTCCCCCCATTCAAACAAAGTGCCCTTCCGCAGCAGGTCAGTTAACGGTCCGGTTATCCCTGCCATATTGGGGATAAACCTCCGGACATAATTAACGAACCCGAGAAAACTCTGCAGCTCCTGTAAATTCGTCGGCGGCTTCCAGTCGCGAATCGTTGTGATTTTTTTCGGGTCGATTTTTATGCCGTCCGCTCCCACGACATGTCCCAAAAATTCAGTTCGGTTTTAGGAACTCGCACTTGGAGCCCTTCGTGATGAGCCGGTTTTCTTGCAGCCGCCGGAAAACTTGCTCAAGGTCCTTGAGGTGCTGTTCCTGTGTCTTGCTGTAGATCAGAATGTCATCAAGATAGACGATGACACACTTGTCGAGCAGATCTCGGAATACGCCGTTCATGGTGAGTTGGAAAGTGGAGGGCCGTTCGTGAGGCCAAACGGCATCACTGTGTACTCGTAGCTGCCATAGCGGGTTCGGAACGCCGTCTTGTGGCAGTCGTCAGCGAAGACTCTGATGGTAACCGCCGCGTAAGTCGATTTTCGAGAAGAAGCGAGCTCCGCGAAGTTGATCGAGAAGATCGTCCGCGTGTGGGATTGGGTAGCGGGACTTGATTGTTCGTCGATTCAGCGCCCTGTAGTCGATGCACATTCGCAGCCCGCGTCTTTTTGGGCGTGAACAGGATGGGTGCTGCGAACGGGGAGGTGCTGGGCCGAATGAACCCCTTCTCCAAGAGGTAGTCCAGTTGGCTTCGCAACTCCGTGAGCTCGGCTGAGTCAGCCGCCACTGGGTCCTGACTGTAGGCTGCGCGCCGGGTTCCAGGTCAATTTTGTGGTCCTGGGGGCGCTCGGGTGGCAGTCCTGCTGGCAGATCGTCCGGAAAAATATCGGGTACTGTCGAATCAGCGCGGCGAGCTCGGCAGGGACACTGGCACAAAGTGTGTCAATGTCCTTTGGCGTCGTCGACCGTCGCTTTCGGCCAGGTGGACGGCGTACAATCAGCTCCTTTTTTAACTGCTCGCTGGAGGGTGATGGCGTTGACACGTGTCGACACCGGATCTCTCCCACGCCAGCTTGGAAGTACGCGCCACCCGTTCGCACAGTGTACGCTGCATTCGCCAGTTGTCCAGTCGACTCGGGTTGTATTTTCGCAGCCAATCACGCCCAAGCAGAATGTCGCAGCCGTCCAGCGTCGTGGCCAGCATGGGCATGCTGAATCCGAAGTCGTCGCCACACTTCATCCGCACCATGCGCGCTCGTTCTCGAATTGCAAGTGGAGTTCCGTCCACCAGTCGCGCGTCGATTTCGGGAAGACATTTTTCCAACGTCAGCTTCAACTGCTTCGCTGTTGTTACGTGAATGAGACTGTGACTAGCTCCGCCATCCACAAATATATATATATATATATTTATTTTTTTGCCGTTAACCTTGCCTTCTACCAGCACAGGGTGATCTTCAGGTTCGCTCCCGTTATTCGTCCGAGTGCGGTCGATAGCGTGTATCGGTACCACAACTTGGTGGGAACGTTGAAGTTCGGGCGACAAAGCCTCGTCAGTAGGGGCCCGTCTGCTACTGACTTTTCCCATTTCCCGGCTTCTCCTTGTCGTTCTTCGTCTTCTTGGGCGCCGTCGGGCAGTACTTAGCTCGGTGACCTGGCTTGTCACATCGAAAACATAGCCCGTGAAATATTTCATCGGGCGCTGACACGCCATTGATCGTGGGGCGGGAGACTGTCCACGAAAACGACCAACATCCCTGTTGTTCTTTCTCGCCCACTGCTGCAGTGCATCGGCTGCTGACGCCAGCTGGACGGCTTCATCGAACGTCTTGGGACGGGACCGCTGCAACTCGTATTGAATATCGAAATGCAGCCCGCTAACGTATTTGTCCCGCCTTTCCGCTTCGCTGAGGTCGTCGACTTGGTCCGCAAGTGCCGAGAACGACGCAGTGTAATCTTGAACAGTAGTCACCTGCCGCCAGTTGCGCAGCTTCATGCGAGCGTCGTCTGAGGCGGATGAATGCTCAAAACGAGCTCGCAGAGCTGTGCCCCACTGTTTCCACGTGCGAATCGTGGTCGTACCGAATATTGTTTCTGCCTGTTGGTTTGAAGAGTCCGAAGTCCCGTCCTTCGCCTGCTTCACTCCTGCCGGAGTCCCAATCGCCAACTGTCGTCGCCACCAATCCAACGCCGGTCCTCGGAGCAGCGACACGGCATAATTAATGCGCGCATCATCGGTGTGCACACTTGCTACCGTGAAGAACAGCTCCATGCTGAACAGCCACCCTTGCACCGTCGTCGCTTGTTTGAAGGGTTGAACGGGGGCGGTGTTGCTGGCTTGAGTTTAATCTTCGTTACGGTCACAGTGCGCATGTCGTCCTGCTCCAACTCCCGTGCGAGCTCGTCAAGGACGGTTTCGCTCGCTGCGTCATCGGCACCTTGCTTGACCTCGTCGTCGGCGACTCCAGGCGACTCCTGACGCGCTTCACCACGCGTCTGGCGAAGCTCGGTGTTCTCCGTCTAAAGTCTCACGACTTCACTATTCAAACTCGCCATCCGGGCTTGCATTGCCTGCATCTGAGCCATGATCTCGTCTAGCTGGGCCTGGGACATGATGCGAATGCTACGCCTTTCGGGCAGGGGGAATGCCGCTGTAAGAAACTGTAGGGGGCGCAAACGCTATCGTAGTTGTGTGAGCTAATAACTCTAGCTACGGACAACCGCTTTGCAGCCCCGCAGGGTTAACCACGCCTTGGAAATAAACTACTCTGAGAAAGCGGGGTGAATCAGGAAAGTAGCTCTGATACCAGATGTTATGAATAATAACTGAGAGTGCGCGGAATAATAATGACGAGTACAAGAAAGATAGCCTAGCGTATATAGCGAGTGCTCTAGCTAGGCGACGAACCCGGAGGGCTAGGTTGGGTACAGGCGCGGTGGAAAGGGTCGGAGGCGGCGCGGGCGTGCCTCGGGGTCGCGTTAGAAACGGACGAGCCTGGTCTTCCGAGAGTTCGGGTGTACGCGATTGCAGTACAATCGGTAAGGAATAAAATTCCTTACACCTAGTGCCCTTCCATGTCCACATCCCTTGGTTTTGAGACAGATGTGCTCTTTATTAGCTACCCTGTAACTTGCTGCAACTGCTCAAGCCCTTCTGGATGTGTATTGGAATTATAATGTTGATTCGTAAACTGATACGTACTCAATCCACCTTTAATCTAGTGAACGCCCATTCATGAGATACCAAGTGCCCATCTACAGGCCCATTGGTTCAAACACACGGGCAACGGCCCAACCCATAGAGGCCACTAATCTCCAACTGTTACCACATCTTATATTGAGACCTCCAAGCATGCAGACGGCCTCATTACTGTTGTCCCAGGAACGCAAAAAGATACAACAATGGTCACCCGCTTTAGACTGAAAAATGCCAACTAGGTAACCAGACTACCCTATTTTGGCCCATTTCGCTCTTGAAAATTTTGCGCTCGATTCTGGATTACCCGCCCGAACACAAAATAAGCTTGAAAAGGAATTCGTGTGTATACCTGTAAATGATTCGCATAACTGTTTGCGCTTATCTGATGTGAAGGGAAGATTCACCTGAGTCATGTCTGCCTTTCAGCTTACTCAATTGTGCGGGAAAGCGCCAGCTGGACGCCAGCTGGACGTCAGCTGGTCGTCAGCTGGACGCCAGCTGGTCGTCAGCTAGCACTTTATTGGCTCGAATTTGCGGCCCGTGTAATTTCGAGCCAATGAACTCTGCCTGCACGGTGGCTAATTTCGTCCTGTCAGCTGCCCAAGAACTCTGCTGCACCCTGATATTTTTTGTCGATTCACGCACAAACCTGGAGTCACATTTTGCCCGTCCGTTCTTGGAGGCCATCCGCCGGTGACGGGTTTCCTGACCCACAAGGGCCGTGTTCCTTTCTTCAATCCGCTATTCGTGCCTCCACCAAGAACGAGCTGTGTCGCTCCGTACAGTAAACTCATGTCGTCTCTTAACGTGTGGTTACGTATCTCGTTTCTCATGCCGCCCCGTTATGTAGCGACTTTAGTTCGTCCTGCTCTTGTCTGATCCCTTCCAGCGCTAGAAAATAACAAGCCCTTACCTCCTCAGCTCACAAAGTACTGTACCAGTCTTACTCACATTTACTCCCATTCTAGCTAGCCTTTACTGTGTACAGTTGTACACCCTAAATCTCGTTAACGTCATATCACGAAACATCACAATCGCCCTAACCGTCACTGCCCAGATCGGCTTCTGATCACATTGCTCCAAAGCCATTCGTGAGTACACCTAGCCCGCGGTAAACCCGAAACCCTGTCTTTTCACAGGAGGCGCCCCCGAGAGGGTATTCACCTCCCGAAAGCAGCTCCTGACGACCAGATCCGGATACCCCTGAATAAACAAGTTAGCTTGGGTTCTTATACGAAACGTATACTGTTCGATTTAGTGTTTCTCGAGTTAGGAAACCCGACATCAGCTTAGCCAGTGCTCAAAGTTTTCCCCGCGTGGAGTCTGCCGTGCTTAGACCGTACGAACAAGGGAGTACTGTCACTCAGAAATGGTCAGGGTAGAAACAAAGCTCTGCTTCCACCCAGTTTTAGGGTGTGAAATTCTGCGGGCTAGGTGTAGCTTGTACCCAATGCGACTTCTATTTGAGACATCAATGTACGAAAGGGGTAGTTACTGTCGATTTCGTAATGCCCCATAATTTCCCAACCGGTGATTTTCAGTACTAAGCGAAAGGATGGAAACACGTGTCCGCTTTCCTTACCTCATGGTTTGGATTCGAGTGATGCGCGGCAGTTCTCTCTCTCCTCTCCGCCATCCCCTCCTACTGAGCATTCCATATCGATCCCGCATATTCGACCCACCGCCTAGCACGAGTTTTTCTGACACACACTCATCTCATCTAACCCCTAGAACAATATCTCCTCACCTCATCTTCTGCCTGACCGTTCCCCTTACAGTGGTGATGACGTGTGTTCTGCACCAACCTAGGCATCTCAGCTCACATCATCACCAGCACAAAGACGGTGACCGTCTCAACAACCGAGCCGCACGAAGCTAACAGAGAATATGATCCTCTCGTACAGCGGCGAGTCAGGCCAACGACTCTTTTGGATTTCGGATCGCGGCCGCTTTCCACCAGAAGTATCTCGCCTCGCATCGCCTCGCCTCCTGTACACACAGACAATAGCACCAGCACAGTACAGAGTACTACTGGCGAGAGGGTAGGGTACATGACGAACTTGGCTGGAGTAGGGTAAGGTAGGGGTGGAGCGAGGTCGGGCACCACATGATCCGTGTTTTGAGAGGTCCCAAAACAAGATTGCTGTACCATCCTCGGCGTCCTCGCCTAATCTCACGACAATCCTCCTCTGGCCACTACGAGCGTCACGTTCAGAAAGTACAAGACTCCTGTACCGTCCATCGGGCTAGAGGAAAAAAATCTGGATTCGCCGCTTCTCTCAGTCTTCCGTCTAGATTCCGAATTTGCCATCGATAAAAATGAACTGGCGCCATTAATTTTAGACAGAAATTGCTTCTGCGGGCCTCCTCTTGGTGTGCATGGAACCGACCGACCGACCCACCCACCCACCAACCCCCGAGGGTCGTCCGCTGAAGCGAGCGGACGCCGATGACGGTTGAAATACAATCTGTCAAGTACTATCGTGTCGGCGCCACGTGATTAGCACCATCATAGCTTATCACCACTGTGGTGACCACCTGTATCTCAATCACGGATATCGTGTGACGTGCGCCTCCTCCTGCCTCCGCCACGTGTCACCTCCACGTCACTGACGTGACACATGAGCGCACCGTCGCGTGGTCACCAGCTCAGAACGGTTCTGGGCTGAAATCGTGGAAAGGTAGTGGGCCCGTCTCGACCTGGCCGAGAAATCCAGCCGTCCACATTTTGTGGTCTCCGACCATGGCGAAGACCTCGAACGAGAGCGGTTCCTTAGCTCTCACGGTCCACGCGCTTGGAACGAGCATCCCTGCTAGGGTTCCCGTGAGTGTTCCGGTGAGGGTTCCGTTTCCGAGTCTGCCGGCGATCCCGAATCCTACGAGCTACTAGTGGTAGTAGTACGTTTCCTTTAATTAGTACTTCAAACCGCACCGTCGCCCCATGTGTGCACTAACTGCCAGTGCCGGCCGTCTGCTCGTCCGACGGCTCAGAGCCATTGAATTCGACTCGGAGTCCGAGTCGATCATGGACGATCCCAATCCCCCTGTCACGATCGCTAGGGTGTCGCAAACGCCTTCGTTATGGTCGCATTGCGACGCCCATGCGACGCAAGCGATGGCTCGGTCGTGGTCGTTTAGCGATGTGGCCCAGGCGACCACGCAAACGGCGCCGCCCCGCGGTCGCCGTGGTCGCGATCGCGGTCATTCAGCGACGTCAGGGCGGCGCAACTGGCGTCCTACGAAACGACCCCCCGGCGGTCGCCGCGGTCGGCGTGGTCGCGCTCGTTCAGCGACGCCCAGGCGACGCAAAAGACGGCCCCTCAGTCATGGTCGTGGGCGCGGCCGTACGGCGACGCCCAGGCGACGCAGATGGTGCGGTCGCGTTCGTTCAGCGACTTCCAGGCGACGGGAACGAAGCGGTCATGGTCCTTAAGCGACGCCCAGGCGACAGGAACGAAGCAGTCATGGCACCAAACCCAGCGGAGGTCGCCGCGGCCGCAACACGAGGGGCACGGGAGCAGCGAGCGACTCTCTGACTGGCTGGAAAACAGCCTTTTCTCCGCGAAGCACGGTGACAGTCATGGCAGAGGCGCTGCTTCCCTTCCTTTCCTTCCTTCTGTTCCTGCCGCCCCTGCCGTCCCTGCGCCGCGGCACGAGAAGCAGCAGCGCGGGAGCAGCCGCACCGAGGGACTCTCGGACTGGCTGGAGAACAGCCTTTTCTCCGCGAAACACGGTGACAGCTGGGGCGTTTCTGCCGCTCCTGCCCCGCGGCACGAGCAGCATGGCGGGAGCTGCGAGCGGCTCTCTGACTGGCTGGAAAACAGCCTTTTTCCCACGAACCGTGGCGTGGGCGTTTCTGCTGCTCCTGCTGTTTCTGCTGTTCCTGTCGTTCCTGCGCCGCGGCACGAGCAGCAGCAGCACGGGAGCAGTGAGCGGCTCTCTGACTGGCTGGAAAAGAGCCTTCTCCCCTCGAAACACGCCAGGGCCGCTCCTGCTGCTCCTGCTGCTCCTGCTGCTCCTCCCATCCCTGCCGCTCTTGCCGTCCCCACCGTTCCAGCACCGCGCCGCCCGCCGCGTCACGGTTACAGCAGTGCTATGAATAGTAGGAGTCACCTTGTGACAGGGGCCAACACACGCCGGGGCGTTTCCCCATCACCCCATCCGCGTTATAGTAGGACTCAGCGCAATGGCCCAGTGGCAGCGGAAGAGGCAGAGGCTGCTGCTGCTGCTGCTGCTGCTGCTGCGCCAGGAGCTGCTGCTGCTGCTCCTGCTGCTGCTTTCGAGCGGAAGGGAGCTCTGAGTGCCAGTCCCATCGCATTCGGTACAAGTTGTGCTGTTCACCGGTTGCCAACTCCTGCCCCAATCGGTTGCACTGAGCGTCGGCCCGCACCAATCGATTGCACTGAGCACCGGCCCGCCCCAATTGGTTGCACTGAGCACCGGCCCGCCCCGATTGGTTGCACTGAGCGCCGGTCGCTTTTGAGTCAACTCAAAACGCTCCTGGACGGCCCGGTGGCGGCGGTAGAGGCAGCAGAGGCCGCTGTTGCTACTGCTGCTGCTGCACCCGAGGGGAAGAGAACCCCGACTTCGAGACACAGTCCAAATCCCCTCTCAATCGGCTCCCCTGAGCAGCGCGGGGGAGAAACAGAACCTCGTGGGGAGAGGAATGGAACCCCCGTTGCAGCCATGGGTCGGAATGGGCACCGGTTGCGCCAGGAGAGGAGTGCTGTTTCTGGGCAGTACAGTGCACCTCAGTGCAATTTCATCCCTCAGAATCACGCTCTGTGGCACCAGCTGCAGCAGCTGCAGGCGATGGGAGATTTCGAGGCGTGTAAGGAGCCCTCTCTTTCCGAGAGGGAAGGAACCTCCGTTTCTCAGGAGCAGGCTTCGTGGGGCCAGTTGCAAGAGGTGCAGGAGGCGCAGGAGGTGCAGCAAGTGCCACAAGTGCCGCAAGTGCAGGAGTTCGCTGCTAACAGGAGGGATGAGGCTCCTGGCTGTAAGAACCAGGGTCTGTGGGACAAGCTGCACGAAGTGCAGCTGTTGATAGAGCTGCTCCAGCGGCACAAGTCGCAGGAGGTGCAGCAGTGGCATGAGTCGCAGGAGCAGCCGGAGCAGCTGCAGATGCTGTTTGAGCCGCACGGTCTGCAGCAGCGGCGTGCGTCGCAGGAGTCGCAGGAGCAACGGGATCTGCAGATGCTGCCTGAGCCGCAGGGTCTGCAGCAGTGGCGTGAGTCGCATGAGTCGCAGGAGTCTCAGGAGCAGGGGGGTCTGCAGATGCTATCTGAGCCGCACAAGATGGAAATTTCTGAGGCGTCTCAGGAGTTTTCTTCCAGCAAGAAAGAAGAACCTTCCGTTTCTCAAAGCCAGGTTTCATGGACCGACTTGCAGGATCTGCAGAATCAGCAAGATCAGCAAGATCTGCAGGATCTGCAGGTGTTGTGTGAGCTGCAGGTGATGGAAGACATTGAGGCTTCAAAGGAGCTTACTTCGAGCAAGAGGAATGAAACTCACTCTTCTCAAAGTCAGGCTTCGAGTGACCAGTTGCAGAACCCGCAGCATCTGAAGCAGGTGCAGGATCTGCAGAATCTGGATCTACAGGATGTAGAGCAGCTGTTGGTTTTGCAGGATCTGCAAGCGGCTCAGCATCTCACAGACGGCAAGAGCCTCTGCGGCAAGGCTGCTGCAGGGGTAGAAGCTTCTGCAGAAGCTTCTACAGGAGAAAATTCAAGTCCAGAGCTTGTTATTGGGTTGGCGGAGGATGGATCCATTGCTGTTGTGGCTAAAGGTGTGGATAAGAGGAGACGGCTGGGGCAGACAGAGGATGAGGCTCGCCTGGGGGCTGCAGGGCATGAGGCTCACCCAGGGGCTGCAGGGAATCAGATGCTTAGTGCACCAGAAACATCGGCGCCTGCAGAAGCAGCAGAGGGCGCATGGCCACCATATGCGGAAGCTGCAGAGGGCTCAGGGCCACCAGCTGCAGAATCGGCAACAGCAGCATTGGCAGCAGCAGTGGTGGCGCCAGCACCTACCAGCAGGGTCGACAGGCTCAGCACGAGCTGCAGGAGCGGCAACACCACCAGCACGAGCATGGTCGCCACAGGCTACAGGGGCGGCTGCCAGGGCGCCACTATGGAGCTGGTTTATCAGCAACACTACTTTGTTACATGCAGTAGTGTAACTATATAACATCATATCTATGTTTCAGTGTAGCAATGAAATTATACTCTCTAGTCTCCAAGCTAGCCATGGGCTCCCTTTGCCTTTGTGACACATCATCGACAGAAGTGATCTGGACCAGACCAAACCGCCTCCCATCCCTCAGCACCACAGGCTCTCCCTGGTCTCAACCCGGGTACCTGTGTTGACTCCTTTGGCCTAGCGACACATGAGCCGCCACTGTGCGTTGTCCACTATGGCTCCCTTGGATTGGCCGTTCAGGCTACTATTCCCATCTCTCAGCACCCGAGGCTCTCCCTGGTCTCCACTCCAGTCACTGGGTTCACCCCCTTGGCCTTCCGGCACATCAGCCGCCGCTGTGCGTTGTCCACTATGGCGTCTGTGAAGTCCGCTCCTGTCACATCCGCCCCTGCAAGCAGTTGATCGAGGTGGGAGAACCAGGGGTGGGGTAGCAGGGATGTGAACCATGAGAGCCGGAGAGGTGACACAAGAGCCACCGCTGTGCGTTGTGCACTCTGGCATCCGTGAAGTCCGCTCCCGTCACATCCCCTCCTGCTAGCAGGTGGAAGAGGTGGGATCACACAGGCCTGCTTCTGAGTCAACTCAAAAGCTGTGCCTTGTCCACTGCGGCATCCATAAAGTCTGCCCCCAACACATCCTCCTGCAAGCAGCTGACAGGGGTGGATAACAAGGGATGTGGTAGCAGCGATGTGAACTGTGAGAACCGGAGAGAAGGCACATGAGCCGGCGCTGTGCGTTGTCCACTATGGCATCCGTGAAGTCCGCTCCTGTCACATCCGCGCCTGCAGTCTTAGGGACATGGACGCAAAGGGGGCGACCACAGGGGTTGTGGAACCACCATCAGCCGCCGCTGTGCGTTGTCCACTATGGCGCCTGTGAAATCCGCTCCCGTCACATCCGCTCATGCAGGCAGCTGGCAGCTGTGGGTAACAAGGGACGTGGTAACAGGGATATGAACTGTGAGAGCCGGAGAGGTGACACAGGAGCTGCCGCTGTGCGTTGTCCTCTACGGCATCCGTGAAATCCGCTCCTGTAACGTCAGCACCAGCGGGCAGCTGGTAGAGGTGGGATGGCAAGGGATCGAAACCGGGGGGTTTAACTAGCCAATGTGCTTTGTCCACCAAAACATATGTGAACGAAAAGAAGTTTAAAGAACGAAGCACATGAACATAGGGTGATGGACCAGGGGATGTGCAAACGACAGAGATGCACCAGCGAATGGAGACAGAAGAGAGCTTACCCTCGAACTGTGAACCAGAAAGAATCGCATTAGTGAAGTTTGCTGGCAGGGGGTGAGTAAAGGGGGAAGGGGGAAGGGGGAAGAAGCGAGAAGGAGGAAGGGGGAAGGGGGAAGGGGGGGGGGAGGTGGAGGGGGAGGTCAGAAAACCAAGGTAGCAACGTGGTAAGAGAGAAGGAGGCAACGTCGTAAGAGAGATTTGCAACGAAGCATGTGAGAAACGGAGCTCCTTGAAAAGAGAGAAGGAGCTCATAACACACAAATGGGCGAATCCAATGCAGGATAGAGAAGGGATATAGGCAGAGGAGAAGAAAAGAGACGAGAAGAGATGAGAAGAGAAGAGAAGAGAAGACAAGGGCACACTCAAAAGGTTTCAAGGGAACAGCAAAAGCCGTTCAAAGAAGATTAAAAAAGAAAGATAGAAGGATGTGGCTGAAACGGCTAGCAAGAAGCACGCTTTTGGGTGGCCTCAAAATCAAGCGGCTAGCAAGAAGCACGCTTTTGGGTGGCCTCAAAATCAAGCGGCTAGCAAGAAGTACCATTGCGGAGGTTGGCCCCTCTGAAGACAACCCGGTCCGCGAGAGCACGCTCCCTGAGGGAGGTGGGGAGGAAAGGGGGACGGAAAGGAGGCCAGAGAGAATGGAGGGAGATGAAAGAAGGTTGGCCCCTCTTAAGACAACCCGGTCCGCGAGAGCACGCTCGTTGCGAGAGGTGGGGAGGGGAGGGGGACGGAAAGGAGAGTCTTTTTCAGAATTTCTCAAGAACACCGCGCGCAAAAAAAAGGCGGGGATTGGAGGGGGACGGATGGAGGGAGAAGAGAGAAGGTTGGCCCCTCTGAATACAACCTGGTCCACAAGAGCATGCTCCCTGAGGGAGGTGGGGAGGGGTGCAATAGGTGGGGGGCGAACAGAGCGAAGGAACTGAATCTGTGAGAGGGGGGGGGGGGGGACGAGAGGCTGGCTCCTCTTAAGACAACCAGGTCCGGGAGAGCACACTCCCTGTGAGAGATGGAGACGGGAGAGTGAAGGGGGGGGGTGCAGAGAGAAGGATTTGATTCTCTAGGGGGGAACAGGGGGCGGGGGGGGGGGGGGGGGAGGGGGAAAAAGGCTGGCTTCCCTGACGACAACTCAGTCGTCGAGTGCTGGCTCCCTGCCACTACGCCCCCATAGCACTGTGAGTCAACACTGAGTGCACTCAGTGCACATGCCCATTTGAGGTTAAGTAGATAAGCTTTGAGAGACGTCTCAAAGCTGAGAGCTCGCTCCCTGCCACTACGCTCCCATGGCACTCAGTTTTAACACAGAGCACACAGGCCCACTTGATTCTCGGCTGCTCACCAGTTGCCGCTCTTCAGGTTGGTGAGCTCAAAGCCCGGAAAAGTGGCGGTGCCGCTAACAAGTTCCCACACAAGTCCTCTTGGCACTCGGAGTCAACACACAGAGCCCCGGCCCATTCACACCGCAGCAGCTCACCAGTTGGCGTTCTCCAGGCTGGCGCGCTCGAAGCCCGGAAAGTTGTCCGAGCTTTCCAAGCCCCTCACTAGTCGTCATAGCTCGCTGAATCAATCAACCACTTAACTATCACCGCGCCAGCACACAGCAAGCACGCCTCTGCCGCTCACCAGTTGGTGTTCCCCACGTTGACCAGCTCAAAGCCCGCAAAGGTGTCGGTGCTTTGAGACCCTCAGAAGTGCCCTCGGAAGTGCCCTTAGCACTCTGAGGGTCAACAGAGAGCACAAGCCTGCTCCCACCTCTGCTGCTCACCAGTTGGTGTCCTCCACGGCGGCCAGTATTAAAGCCCACAAAGGTGTCGGTGCTTTGAGACCCCTCTGACATCCCCTTAGCATTCTGAGTCCAACCAGGGAGCGTATGCGGCACGCGCACTCACGCCTCTGCCACTCACCAGTTGGTGTTCTCTAGATTGGCCAGCTCAAAGCCCGCAAAGGTGTCGGTGCTTCCAGCGAGGTTCGATCCGCTCAGGTTGATTAGGCGGCAGTCACATGCTGGATGGTTGGTTCGAGGGGGAAAGGGGGGGAGGGGGAAAGGGGGTGAGAAATGGGATGGAAGAATACGAAGAAAGGGAGCCCGGTGCTTCCAGCGAGATTCGACCCGCTCAGGTTGATCAGGCGGCAGTCACACGTTGGATGGTTGATATGGGGAGTGAAGCGGGAAGGGGAGAAGAGAGCCAGGGAGGGGGAGAGAGGCGGGAAGGGGAGAAGAGAGCCAGGGAGGGGGAGAGAGCCAGGGATGGGGAGAGAGCCAGGGAGTGGGAGAGAGCCAGGGAGTGGGAGAGAGCCAGGGAGTGGGAGAGAGCCAGGGAGTGGGAGAGAGCCAGGGATGGGGAGAGGTCCAATCTGCTCAGGTAGATGAGCCGGAAGCCACCCGCTGGATGGGGGATAACGTTGGGCGAGGGACGGGAGAGGACGGGGGAGGGGGGATGGGGGACGGGGGACGGGGGATGGGGGACAGGGAAGGGGGAAGAAGAGGATGGGGGGAGAGTTTCAACCCAATAAGGATAACCCGCTCAGGTTGATGAGGCGGCAGTCATATGCTGGATGGAAGAAAGGTAAATGGGGGTGGGAAAAGGAGGTGGGTGGAGGTTTGGAAAATATGAAGGAAGGAGAGTGCAAACATGCCAGTGCGTCCAGAGAAATTTTTTGAGGCGCCTCAAAAATGAAGGAAGGAGAGTGCAAACATGCCAGTGCGCCAGAGAAAATCGACCCTCTTAGGTTGGTCGGCCGCCATTCCTGACCAGATCCGCTCCTCGCTCGTCGCTCCTCGGTTGGTTCTCCTCCTTAATCCCCACCCCCCATTGCTACCCTAGCTCTCGCCATCCCCCCCTCCTTCCCTCCACCTGCCCCTTGCCCTTCCCCCTGCCCGTCCCAGGCACGCTCACCATCCTCCTTCCTCTCCCCCTACTGGCAAACACCCATCCCTCTCCCTCCGCCTCCCTCACCGGCAAACAAGGACCAGTAGGGGTCCTGATTGGACATATCCGCGCATCTCTCGTCCCCCCTCCCCCCTGCTACCCAATCTCCGCCACCCCCGTTCACCCCCTCCTCCCCCACCCCTCGTCACCCTCGTACAATCTACTCCATTCTGGATTGGTAAAGGTCCTGATTGGACATATCCACGCACCTCACTCTCGCCCGATACACCTACCTCCCTCCCTCGCCCTCCCCTCCCCTTACTACCCCCGCCCCTGGCTACCCCCTCCCCTCACCAGCAAAGATGGGCCGGTAGGGGTCCTGATTGAACATATCCGCGCATCTCTCTCGCCCCCCCCCCACACTGCTACCATATCTCCCCCACCCCCTTGCACCCCCCACCCCCCACCTCACCAGCAAAGATGGACCGGTAGAGGTCCTGGTTGGACATGTCTGCGCCGCGCAGATAAGCGTGGTTATAGGTCTGGGTGGGGGGGTGTGGGGAAGGTGTGGACGGTGGGAGGAAAGGGGAGGGGGAAGGGGGAAGAAGGTGGGGGGGGAACGGGGGAGGGGGAAGGGGAGGGGAAAGAGTTGAAGAAGGGGGAGGAGAGGGCGAAAGCAGCAAAAAGCAGGGGATATAGGGGATTTTAGAGAGTATATAATGGGATAGGAACGTCATTATCAACGTTTTAATACAATAAGATGAACATCATTACAAAAATATGAACTTCGTTACAATAAGAACCTATCCAAACCCACACCTTGAAGTCGGCAAGAGCGCAAGGAGCGACCGCCAAAGGCGCCGCAACAACCGCCGCCGCTACAGCAGCTGCAGTCAACCACACTCCCACACGCTGCACGCGTGTGTCGCTAGCGTCATTCTCGGCCGTTCCGTTCCTGTCACCCGAGCTAGACGTGCCACGAGTTGACGCCGTCACCCTCGGGAATGCCGCGCGTCGGTGACGGCGGTGCTCCCTATGGCAACTTTGTGATTCTAACGCGAGGGATAAAGTGCGCTTCTGAGTCGACTCAAACGGGGGCGGCGTTTCGTGAATGGAAGGAAAGGAGACGAGAGACACGCTGGCGAGTGCCATCGACGCGGAAGCACACGAACCGACTTATAAGTTACGAAGGTGGGTACACTCGCAGACGACTCGCACACGAACTCCTCGTAAGCTACCTACTAAGTGAAAAAATCGACACCAGCTGAGGTGTAAGATGCGATTTCTGAGGTGCCTCAAAAATCGAGGTGCAATCGTGGACCGCGGTGTCGCGAGCTAAGACACAGTGTATAAGCCACGGATCGCGCGACTGGCGGTGTACGAAGCGCGGCACACTCAGGCTCGCGGGTAAATTTGACAGACTAAGGACCACCGTAGCGACTATCCCTCTAGTGGAAGACTAAATGCTGGACGGCATTTGCCCTAGAAGGGGGTGGGGAACTGTGCCTGCTGCCACGTCATTTGGAGGCCCATCCAGCATGGCGGACGGGTTAACGAGGTCACGGATTGGTTCGACTGGTTCTCTCTGGTTTCCCGCTCACAAGCTTTGACTGAACACTGGCAATACCGCCTTAAGCTACACCTCGCGGTGACATAAACAATACACGTTAATAATATGGCATAGGACTAACATATGAGAGTCAAAATCAGGATTTTGAACTCTAGTTACTACCGTCAATGTCTACTTCAAGCCATCTAGGAAATTCTACCTATCCCAAACATGGACAGTGCTTGATTGCCTGACCATGCTGACATAATGCAGCGTTTCTCAGTCTGCCTGTAACCCCCCAAAGGGATGCTCAGAAGGCCACATGATGCAAGGATCCAGCAACACCACATCAACAGAAGGCTCTCTTGGACCAACTCCCAAGGGTTGCTCGAAAGGTAAGCCCCACCTCCCTACCCCCACGTCCTCAATGCTGACAAAAACGCAACAGGGCAGCGTATGCTGGATCATATCTAATCCTCCACATGCTGGATCTCACCCATGAGAATGCGGTTACTCGTAACACTGAATCCAAGCAGCGATGGATCCACCACCTTCTTTCCCTTCTTGCTCTTCTTCTTCCCTCCTGCCCCCTCCCCCCCCCTTCACCACCACCAGTACCACCACCAGCAGCACCAGAGCCATTACCACTAGCCCCACCACTGCCGGCCTTTCCAGACCCCGCCACACTCGCAGTCACCCTCCGAGCCTCCTCCCGAGCCGAGCCCACAGGCCCAGCACCCGTCCGGGAAGCCGAAGCAGCAGCCGCCGAGCCTTTCCTAGCAGAACCAGCAGCAGCACCAGCACCACCAAGCAGGGAAGAGTCGTCCTGAATCACCGCTTCACTCACAGGGAAGGCCACGCGGACCGCCAAGGGGGAGAGGCCCGCACGGCGGGAGAGGAAAGTGGAGGTGAAGGAGGAGGCTGCGGGGGCTGAGCCCAGGTACTGGAAGAGGTACTGGCGCACCTGGTCGTCCGCTGCCTTGGGCAGCGACATGCAGAAGTCGATTAGAGTGAGGTCTGAAGGGGGGGGAGGGGAGGGAGGGGAGGGGGAGGGGTGGGTTGGGGGAGCACAGATGGGAGTGTGAGCCCAGGTACTGGAAGAGGTACTGGCGCACCTGGTCGTCCGCTGCCTTGGGCAGCGACATGCAGAAGTCGATTAGAGTGAGATCTGAAGGGAGGGAGGGGAGGGAGGGGAGGGGGGAGGGGTGGGTTGGGGGAGCACAGATGGGAGTGTGAGCCCAGGTACTGGAAGAGGTACTGGCGCACCTGGTCGTCCGCTGCCTTGGGCAGCGACATGCAGAAGTCGATTAGAGTGAGATCTGAAGGGAGGGAGGGGAGGGAGGGGAGGGGGGAGGGGTGGGTTGGGGGAGCACAGATGGGAGTGTGAGCCCAGGTACTGGAAGAGGTACTGGCGCACCTGGTCGTCCGCTGCCTTGGGCAGCGACATGCAGAAGTCGATTAGAGTGAGATCTGAAGGGAGGGAGGGGAGGGAGGGGAGGGGGGAGGGGTGGGTTGGGGGAGCACAGATGGGAGTGTGAGCCCAGGTACTGGAAGAGGTACCGGCGCACCTGGTCGTCCGCTGCCTTGGGCAAACACATGCAGAAATAAAAAAGGGTGAGGTCTGTGTTGAGGGGAAGAGAGGGGAGGAGGGAGGAGGGAGGGCAGGGGAGAGGGAGGGAAGAAGAGGGAGGAAAAGTGGGATTTTGAGCCCAGGAACTGGAAGAGGTAGTGGAAGAAGTGCTGGCGCCCCTGGTCATCCGCTGCTTTGGGGCAGCGACTTGCAGATGTTGATTAGAGCGAGGTCTGTGAGGGGCGGGGAGCGTAAAGCAGCACGCAAAAAAGACTCGGGGGCTCAGGAATCTATAGTCGAAATCACTCGGGATTCTAGAATACTGTCGGCGCCACCTGAGCAAGAGGCACAGCAGCAAGAGCATAGCTGCCTGGCCGCTTCTAAGATTTTGACAGCTGGACAGCTGGACAGCTTGACACCTGACCTGCCCGCTCACTCATGGAATACTTGCGGGCTGATATTTTTTCTTACCCGAGCTGCCCGTGAGCTTCTGGATGTTGGCCTCGCACCACTGCCGGAAATCCTGGGCTGCCCGGAGCTCTGCTGCAGGCACCTGGGCCGATGCTGCTAGCGCTGATGCTGCAATCCAGAAGAAAAGGCCACACGGAAAGAAGGGGGGGGAGAGAGAAGGGGAGTGCAGTAGGTGTGAGCTTCGTTGCAGGCACCTGGGCCAATGCTGCTAGAATTCTTGAGAAGAGAAGAGCAGAGAATTCTTAAACACACACACACACACACACACACACACACACACGAGCCCGACGGCATTGACAATGCCACCTACTTCTCGAAACATATTGTTCTGGTGGAATTCGGAACCCAATATTCCTTAGGTCCGGCCTGAAATTCAGGTCCTGAATGCATTGACAGAGCTCCCATTTCTTGGGAAAAGAGAAAGATTGGTGATTAAATACGCACTATTCATAAAAACTGACCCGGCTGAGTTGACTTGGCGCCTTTCTTCTTGGAGCCACCCTTTCCCTTCGCCTCAACAGCAGTGAAGTCCTTTGCTGCTGCTCCTGGCACCTCCTTACTGCGAATCGCATATAGACGAAAACAAAGAGCGGGGGATCAAGTTTAGGAATGGATTCAAGTCCTGGGAATGGGCCGGCAGCAGGAGAAAAGGGGGAGGAGGGGGGTGGGAGGACTTTTGAGTCGACTCGAGGTGACTTTTGAGTCGACTCGAGGTGACTTTTGAGTCGACTCAAAAGTCACCTTGTTTAAGAATGGATTCAAGTCCTAGGCATGGGCCGGCAGCAGGGGGAAAGGGGGAGGAAGGGGGTGGGGGGGGGAGGAGGGAACTTGCTGCTGCAAGCGTCCCGTTGGTACCTCCCACGTTGCTTGCAGGCACTTCTTTTTGTGCGGGCTACACATGAGGGTGATTTGAACGCGTAGCAAGGACGGATGGAGGGAGCAAGCGAGGGAGGAGATAAGGCGACAAGCGAGGGAACCGATTTGCAAAGCACATGCATGCACGATATGATAGTGTGAGTGAGCAGTGACTAGCCTAGAGGAGGTTGACTGATATGAGTAGTGCTCCTAAACCATATCCTCATCATATGGGCTATCCTCATCATTCACAACTCATACCTTGAGCTAAACCGGTAACACATGGGTCACAGCACTGCACACCTTGCGCCAGACTGGAACGAGTACCCCCAGAACACATCCTTATCATCTACCACACCGGCTTGAGGTAAACAGGTATCCTATTAGATAACAACATTTACTCACCTTGACGTTGACTGGTACGAGGTGGCTTTTGAGTCGACTCAAAAGTCACACCGGCTTGAGGTAAACAGGTATCTTTTTAGATGGCAACTTTTACTCACCTTGACATTGACTGGTGCGAGTAGTCCTAGAACACATCCTCATCATTCACAACAACCCACACCGTGGGGTAAACCGGTGCCACACACAGAGAGAACAGCACTAAACACCTGTTGCTCGACTGCTACAAGTAGTCCCAGAGCGCATCCTCATCATCCGCCACAACAGGCTGCCAAAACACACCACACCTAGAGCTTAACCGGTAACACACACACGTGACCCGCACAGGTGACAGCAGTACTCACCTGGTGCTTGACTGGTACGAGTAGTCCCAGAACACATCCTCATCATCCGCCACAACAGCCGTCCCCTTGGCTTGAGCCGAGAACACAGCACATAGCGACTGCAACACACACCTAGAGCTCAGCTCTAACGATAACAGTACCCACCTGGTGCTTGACTGGTACGAGTAGTCCCAGAACATATCCTCATCATCCGCCACAACAGCCGTCTCTTTCCTCTCCTGCTGCTTCTTCCCCCCTCCCTTCCCCTTCCCTCCAGCCCCACCACCCACTCCCCCCCCTCCCACAGCAGCAGCAGCAGCAGCAGACGGCACAGCAGCCGAAGCAGCAGGACCCACCCGTTCCTGCAGCACCCTAATCTGTGCCTGACGCGCCCTCTCCTCCTCCCTCACCCTCTCCTCCTGCCTCTGCCTCACCTCCCCCTTAGCCCGCTCCTCTGCTGCCTGAATTTCCGCCAGAGAAAGCACCTGCCCCCTCCCCCCTCGCGCTCCCCCTGCTCCTCCCCCTCCTGTTGCTGCTAATCCCCTCCCTGCGGACCCAGTTGACCAGGCAGGAGCAGGGGCAGGAGCAGGGGCGGCGGAGGGGCTAACCCCTGGAATCAGCCCAGGAACCATGAGGAAATCGGCCAAGGAAGGGGCCGGAGGGGCCAGGATCTCATCTGCTGCTTTTGCCGCCGCTGCTGCTGCAGAAAGGGATGCTGCCGCACCACCAGAAGCCGACCTGGAGGTGGTGACAGGGATAGAGGCAGCGGGGAGGGCAGAAGCAGCAGCAGCAGCAGCAGCAGCAGCGTCGCTGGGAAATCCAGCAGCAGCAGAAGAGGCGGAGGAGGAGGGAGGCGACTTGCCAGCAGCAGCCTTGCCCTTGGCCCCTTTCTTCTTGTTCTTCCGGGATTCCTTGGGCTCAACAAACTCCGAATCGTCCACTTCAGCTGCAGCTGCAATGGCAGCAGCAGCAGCAGCATCAGCAGCAGCAGAGGCAGCATCGCTCCTCTTCGCCTCTATCCTTGCATCGTCCAGCATACTAGACGCCGACCCCAGGATCTCCTCAGCCAGGGGGTCCCTCAAACCACCTGACGAAACACCTGAAACACCTGAGCCTGCTCCTGCTCCCACACCCCCAGCCAACCGCCCCGAACCCCCTGCAGCAACACCCGTGCTAGACGGGCTAGGATAACCCCTAGACGCGAGGGGGTCGAACAGACTAGCCCCTGTTCTGGGCTCCAAAGAAGGTCCCTGGGGGAACAGCACAGCGCTAGCAGTGGCCGCGCACCTAGCAGCTGCTTCTGCTGCTGCAGAGGCGGCCGCAGCAGCTGTCGCCTCCTCCTCTAGAATCTCCTTGAGGGATTTCTTGCGAGTCATAGCTGCAGAACCAGCAGTGTTTCCCCACACGGTAGCAGCCCCACTGCCACTGCCAAACCCACCAGAGCTAAAGGCGCTTGACCCGCCGATGACCTCCCCTGCTGCAATGGCGGCCTGGATGCGCCTCTCCTGCTCTGCCCTCTGCCTCTCTGCCTCTGCCGCTTCCTCCTCAAGAATCTGGGCGAGAGACTTTGCCGGGACCGTGTGGGCTTTCCAGGCTGGGAGGGGCGGGGTAGAGGGTTTTGCAAGGGTTTCGGTGACAGTAGCAGGTGAGGCAGGGGATGCTGCTGCGGCTGGTGATGCTGCTGCTCCTGCTGCTGCCTTGTCGCTGTAAGAAAGGCCTTTGGTGCTTGGCTCGGCGGCTGAAACCTGCTGCTGCTGCTGTTTCTGCTGCTTTTGCTTCTGCTTCTCCTTTTCCTTCCTATCCTTCTCCCTCTCCTTCTCTCTCTCCCGTTCCTTCTCCTTCTCCTTCTCCTTCTCCATCTCCTTCTCCTTCCGCTCCTGCAGCAGCAGCAACTGCTCCTCCTTCTGTTTCTTCTTCTTCAGTTTCTTCAACTCTTTCTTCGAAAGCGTCTGAGAGCCCTCATCCGCATCATCTCCGACTGTCTTATCCTCGCTAATAGCCTCATCCTTCTTGCCTCTAGCATCAGCACCCTTCTCCTCCTCTGCTCTGCCTTCCTCCGTGTCTGCATCTGCATCCGCAGCAGCAGCAGCAGCACTCGCCGCATCGCCCTTCCCCGCCTCCCCTCCCTGCTCTGCAAGGACCTTCGGTGCCTCACCCTTCCCTTCCTCCAGCTGCTGCTGCTGCTGCTGCTGCTGCAGTTGGCTCAACTCCTCCGTCTTCCCCAATTGCTCTGTCCCCACAGACTGGCTCCCTGCCTGGGCTACAGCCTCGGCTACAGCAGGAGCCGCCACATCTGCCTGATAGTCCTGCCGCAATAACTCCGAAAACAGCAGCCGCGGTGGCGCTGCCTGCTGCTGCTGCTGCTGCTGCTGCTGCTGCTGCTGCTGCTGCTGCTGCAGCTGCTGTTGTGGTTGCTGCAGCAGTGGCTGCTCGTGCTGCTGCTGCTGCGACGAGTCAGCAACGCCAGAGCTTTGCACCTCTCTCTGCGGCTGGCCCCCACCCTGCATCTGCAGCACCTGCTGCTGCAGCAGCTGCTGCTGAAGCTGCTCCTGAGCCATCTGCGGAATAGGGTGGGGAAAATGAGTGGGGAGCATACCAAGGTTCGGCTGTTGCAGTAGCTGCTGCTGCCCCCGTTGCCCCTGCTGCTGCTCCTGCTGCTGCTGCTGCTGCTGCTGCTGTCCTGGTTGTTGCGGCTGCTGCTGGTGGGGCAGCCCCGGGAAGGGCAAGAGCGCTTGGCCAAAAGGGGGGGGCAGCAGAGAGGGGTGCTGCAGCCAAGGGAGCGGAACCGACCCGTGAGGGGGGGCCTGCAAAAACTGGGGCTGCTGCTGCTGCTGTAACTGCTGCAACTGCTGCTGTATCAGTTGCGTTCCCTGGGGTTCAACCTGGCGCCCTGAGATCAAAAGTGACGACAGGTGCATCTGTAACGCCATCTCCTCCGTAACAACCTCTGGTAACCCGCCACCCTCTTTCGCCAGCGCGTGAGGGAAGCCAGCAGAAGCACCAGCCACTACTACCCCAGGTAACCCTCCCCCAGAACTACCCGTATCCAGAGCCAAGGACTGCTGCAGGCGCATCTGAACCTCCCTCAGCTGCGCCTCCCTCAACTGCGCCTCTCTAATCTGCGCCTCCCTCAGTTGCGCCTCCCGCTGCTCCCTCTGCTGCACCACCTCCTGCTGTACCCGCATAAGCAGATCCACTATAGGCGGGTGCTGCAGCAGCTGCTCCAGAGGCGCGTCCTTGGGAATACCGGCCTGTACCAGCGCCTCTTGCATCCGCAGGCTTATCTCATCCTGCCCTATTATCGGCCCCCCAACCCCTGGATAGAGCGTGGCTGGGCCTAGGCCGGTGGCGGCAGCAGCAGGGTGCAGGAGTGGGTGCAAGGGGTGGTGGAGATGCGCCAGGGAGATTCGCGGGGGAGGGAGGGCTGGGGGGAGGGTTGATTGCACCTGCTGCGGCAACGGCTGCTGCTGCTGCTGCTGCTGTTGGGGTTGCTGTGAGTGGGGGAGGAGGTGCGAGAGGAGGGACGGCAGAGGGTCGTGCGGGTGAGGAAGGTGGGCCGGCTGCTGCTGCTGCTGCTGCTGCTGTGGTGGGTGCAGTGGGTCGTAAAGCGCAGGAGAGGGCGAGGGGGTGCGATGGCCCTGAACGGCACAAACAGGAGTGGGGACCAGAAACGAGCACACATGCCACACGCGGGGGAAAGAAACGACGGTGAGAGAAGCCCAAAGGCGGGCGAACACAACTTCAATAAAACCCCGAACCCTGGCCACCACAAACCCATACAGGAGCGCATCATGACTGACTGACGCCTCTCACTCAAAAGCATCTGAGCGATTTTTGAGTCGACTCAAAAGTACCTGAGCCAGCGCATCATTCACAGCAAGCACTGGAGCCACGTGATATAAGGTTGGTTTCGAGACGTCTCAAAACACATCATTCACAGCAAGAACTGGATGCATTAAGCTGGTTCTTTTTTCTTCTTTTAAAAAATCTGAGCTGGATGCCGCTCCAGCTCCCACAACTCCAGTTTCGACAATAACTTCTGTGGATCATGACAGGGTAGGTATTGCTGACTTGCGGATGTTCCGGCAAGAAACACACCCGAGCCGGTGCATCACGACTGACTGACTGGTGCCTCTCACTCAAACGTGCCTGAGCCTTGAGACGTTTGAGTCGACTCAAAAGTAGTGACTGACTGGTGCCTCGCACTCAAACGTGCCTGAGCCTTGAGACGTTTGAGTTGACTCAAAAGTAGTGACTGACTGGTGCCTCTCACTCAAACGTGCCTGAGCCTTGAGACGTTTGAGTCGACTCAAAAGTAGTGACTGACTGGTGCCTCGCACTCAAACGTGCGTGAGCCTTGAGACGTCTCAAAACACGATAATTATCACACTCATTTAACAGTACCTGAGCCAGCGCATCCAGACTGGAAAACGACCTGGATGCCGCTCCAGCGCCCACCGCTCCAGCCATGCCCAACCCCGTCCCATGCAACCCCGGCTCGGCCCGAAGCTCCTCCGAGCCCGGAGCTGACCAGGAGGCTTGGTATAGGCCACTTGGCTCTTCCATGCCTGGAAAGAAAAGAGGATCGGGCAAGAAAAGTGGGCGTGAGAAGAGGGCGAGCGAAGCGGGCAGAGAATGCATGAGAAGTGGGCAGGGGGAGCATACCAGGGAAAGGGGGGGAGAGGGGCGGGAAGCGGGGAGGGGGGCGGGGGGGGTGGGGGGGGGGGGGGGGGGGGGGGGGGGGGTTTGTGAGGAAGCTGATTGGGAGAAGGATAAGAAGTTTGGTGGAAGGAATTACCAGCACTTGTGCCAGCGTGAAGAGCCCCGAGAATGACCCCTGCGGCACCAGCCATCGCACCGCCGCCGGCACCAGCAGCACCAGCAGCACCAGCAGCACCTGTAGCACCTGAAGCCCCTGTAGCACCAGTAACACCAGCCGCAGCAGCCCCAGCAGCATCAGCAGCAGGAGCAGCACTGCCTGCCAGCCCAGCGCTTTCTTTCTCAGCAACCAGGGTGGCGTCCGCAGCTACTGCGCCCTCGACCGCAACCCCTGCAGCAGCAGCACCACCACCCCCACCACCAGCACCAGCACCAGCACCAGCACTGCCACCACCAGCACCAGCAGCAGCAAAGCCAGGGGGCACCTTAGCCGACGGCCTCAGATGCGGCATGACATCCCCCAGCGGCAGAAACTGCACCCCAGGCGCCGCCTCCCCCGTCCCCGGGTCCACCGGCCGCACCGGCAGCTCCAGGCCAAAAAACCCCGCCTCAAACCACCCCATAATGTCGTCACCTGGAAACGGCCCCTGGACTTCCCCCTGGGGGTCGCGGTACTGTAGCAGGAGCTTTTCAGGCGGGATGGAGGGGGGGGCGGTGGTCAGGGCGGTGTATTTGGCTTGGGAGGGAGACAGGGAGGTGGCGCCTGGGGCGGGTGAAGCCTGGGTTGCGTCGGTTGCCTGGGTGGCTGCTACTGCAGCTGCAGCGCCAGGTGCGTGAGTGGGTTGGCGCTTGTCAGCTTCTTGTGCTGCCAGAAAAAGGCGGTTGCACGCGGAGGTTGAGGGGAGAGAATTAGCCAGAGGGCAAGAGGGTGCAGAACCAGGCTGAAAGTCAACGACAGGCATGATAGGCATGATAGGCATGATAGGCATGATAGGCATGATAGGCATGATAGGCATGATAGGCATGATAGGCATGATAGGCATGACAGGCATGATAGGCATGATAGGCATGATAGTCATGATAGTCATGATAGTCATGATAGGCATGATAGGCATGATAGGCATGAGAGTCATGATAGGCATGATAGGCATGATAGGCATGATAGGCATGATAGGCATGATAGGCATGATAGTCATGACAGGCATGATAGGCATGATAGGCATGATAGTCATGATAGGCATGATAGGCATGATAGGCATGACAGGCATGATAGGCATGATAGGCATGATAGTCATTAGAGGTATGTGGAACACCGCTCTCTTAGAAAAAGCCCCAGCCAACGTACCATGCTGATTGCTGGCATCCTTGCCCTCCCGCTCCCGCTCCTTGTCTCGCGAGGCGTCCTTGTCCCTCGATGAGTGCACCACCCCGCTGCCCACGATCTCGCCACTCTCAATCGCCGCCATCACCGCCTGCACAGCCAGATTGTAACACACAGACAGATGGTAACAGTCAGTGAACAGTCAGTGAGTAACAGGCAACCAGTATTAGCCAGATAGGCGTCCGTGACAGCCTAACGTCCGAGCAGGCAGATGGTAACAGCGATTGAGGAGCTGACCTCCTTGGGGCCAATCCTTGTGGTAACCTCCTTCACGCGTCCGCTCGCCTCTTCCCCGTCCACTTACCTACCTCCATTCCGCCGCTCGCCTCTTCCTCCGCTCACCTCTTCCGCCGCTCACCTCTTCCTCCGCTCACCACTTCCTCCGCTCACCACTTCCTCCGCTCACCTCTTCCTCCGCTCACCTCTTCCGCCGCTCACCTCTTCCGCCGCTCACCTCTTCCTCCGCTCACCTCTTCCTCCGCTCACCACTTCCTCCGCTCACCTCTTCCGCCGCTCACCACTTCCTCCGCTCACCTCTTCCGCCGCTCACCTCTTCCTCCGCTCACCTCTTCCTCCGCTCACCTCTTCCTCCGCTCACCTCTTCCGCCGCTCACCTCTTCCGCCGCTCACCACTTCCTCCGCTCACCTCTTCCGCCGCTCACCTCTTCCTCCGCTCACCTCTTCCGCCGCTCACCACTTCCTCCGCTCACCTCTTCCGCCGCTCACCTCTTCCTCCGCTCGCCTCTTCCGCCGCTCACCACTTCCTCCGCTCACCTCTTCATCCGCGCTCGGTTCCACCAGCGCCACCGGCACCAGCGGCTCAGACCCCAGGAGCGCGGGCGCCTCAGACCATTCCCCCGGAATCGCCGCGCTGAACTCAGGCGCGCGCTTGTGCGCGTGGTAGATCTCCAGCAGCCGCGCGCGCGGGTACCTGAACGTCTCCGCGGACGGCGGAGCGCCCGCTCCGCCAGCCTCCGGGGGCGGAGCGCCGATCTGCTGCGCCCTGGAGGCCTGCCCTGGAACGTCCCAGCTTCCCCCTGCCCCCCCGCCGAATCCGCGCCCCCGCGCAAAGCCTCCGCCCCCTCCGCCAGCGCCCAGCGCGGAGGAGCCTGTGCCTGCGCCTGCACCGTCGGGGGCTCCGCGCCCGCGCCCCGCCGCGAACCCAAACCCTGGCTGGAACTTGGAGAACGGGGCGGTGGAAATTGACGTGCCCGTAGGCGGAGCCTCTCCGCGCCCCCGCCCCGCGATAGACTGCGGGCGCCACTTCCCCCCTGTCTCCGACCTCCCCGCGGTAGTGTCTCTAGTCCAGCTACCGCTCCCGGCTCCCCCCGCGCTTCCGCCCCCGGGCCCCCCCGCCCCCCCGGCCCCAGCCCCAATAGACCCCCCGCTGCCTACGTCCTTCTCCGCCTCTTTCCCCCGGTCGCTATCTCGCGCGCCGATGGCGGGCCGGTAATCCCTAGGTTTTTCAAACTCGCGGTGCTTGTCCGCTTCCTTCTCCCCCGGCAGCGTCCACCGCGCGCTTCCCCCGCCCCCGCCGCCCTGCGCGGACTCCGCCGCTCCGCGGAGCCCGCCTCCGATTCCTCCGCTTCCCCCGCCATGCCCACTTTTCTCCCCCCAACTCTCGCTATGCACGACGCCCCTGTCCTTCTCTTTCTCCTTCTCCTCCGCGGTGCCCCAACGCGAACTCCACTTAGTATCGCGGCGCTGGTCGAAACTCCGCGTTCCGCTGTCCGCCCACCGCTCCTTGCGGTAATCCACGCTTGCCTCCCCTCCCGCGCCGAGCCCCGCGCGGGGACCGCCCATCCCCGGAGGATCCACCCAGCGCTCCTTCTTAACATACCCGCCCCCCTCCCCCGCCTCCTTTCCGCTCTCACCCCCCAGCGGCGGGGCGTGTATGGACCCCCAGCGGGGGTCGTTCCGCGGCTTCCCCCCCACGCTCTCGCGCTCGCGCTCGTCCTCCCCCCAGCGGTCGCTCGGCCTTTCGCGCTCCATGCCCGCGCTGCGCCACCAGTCGCGCTCCCGCTTCGCCTCGTCCGGCGGCGCTCCCGCTACTCCCCCCCCCGGAATGCCGCCTGCGCCTGCGACTGCACTGGCCCCGCGGCCTACCTTCCACTTTCCGCCGGGAGCCTCGCCGCCTCTGCCGTAACCCATCGGCTTGGAAGGGTCCTGGAAGGGCTGCACGGGAATGGGCGCGGAGGAAAGTGAGGACGGTGCCTGTGGAAACGGAAAGCTTCTGAAGTTACGACGAAGAGAAACGACTGGGATGCAGGGATAGCGAAGAGCTCGGGCCGGAGCTAAGATATCGGAGGAGCTGGGGCCAGAGCTAGCGAAGTGACTGGAGGAGCTCGAGAGACGACAGGGTAATTGAACGAATCAGTGCGGTTTGCTTCGTCTGACATATCGGAAAACTCTGGGAAACAACCACTGTGGAGTGGATGGCCGTTGATCAGAAGGGAGATTTAAAATGCTGACCTGGCCGACAGCACCACGCGATGAGTCCGAGTGCTTCGCGGTGAGCCACTGCGGCGAAAATGCCATCGAGGAGTCTCCGGGTGACGAATGCTCTGCACGAGGGAAGAACCGACGGCCAAGTACGGGCTTGATGTTAAACTGCCGATAAACCCCGGAGATCTGACGGGTTTCTGGACTGACAGATTACGGCATGGGGCATACCTTTCCCGTCAGGAGATGTTTTCGAAACTGTTCCTCCAGAAGTTCCTCCGCCAGATTCGTCTGCGACACGAAGTAACGGTAAGAATCGGCCAAACCCTAAAATATGTGCGAGCCTGGAACATCCACGTACCTCGAGATTTCTTCACATCCTGGGGACGCAGGGAAATTCCCCCATTAGGAAAACCGGAAGGGTCCGACATCGTAACGACAATCTAACGCGAAAGCGCGTGCTTCGTGAGCGAGTCGCTAAGTCCACTAACAACGGCGAGCTGGAAGAGCGAGCGAGCGAGTGAGCAAGATCTAGAGGGATGTTGTTGGCAACTGTGGAAAGTCCAGCAGAGCACTGCAAGGAAACCTTGGAAGAGAAGTGGATGTGAAAGGGGATAGTATAGAGGAACCATACAGTACCGTAGGAAGAGAAGGAGAATGTTGTCTGTATGTAGGCAATCTGCACAAAGAACGCTGGTAAGAAATGGAACGTGCCTACTGAGAATGTGATTATGTGCCAGGTAGTGACAATCTCGAGGTTGTACATGGCGACTTTGGGGGAACTTCCAGAAACTTCAGAAACAGGCAGAACTGAAGTGTACACTTCACGTTAACATTTCTCCAAAACACGGCTAAATCTGAGCAAAATATTAAGGACACCATCGCACAAAACCACAACGGAAGTTCTTATATAGACGTAAAAGCCAAACCCTAAGGCTGCTGACGTGACACCATACCTATCTATCTGTTGTTCAGATCTGGTCTAGTTTCCGATCTCTTACCTGCGTTCTCTTCACCAAAAACGTTTCTTTGACGAGGATTTCTTGTTTTCGGCTCTCGCTCCTCTTCCTGTCAATTTCCGCGCTCCAGAAAATATGACGACGGAAGAAGTTAAAGCGCACGAGGGTGACGGCGCTGACGCCGCTGCGGCTTCGCCTCCCGCTGCTGCTCCTCCAAGCGACGATGTTGCTCCTGCGGATGCTGCTGCTCCTGCTCCTGCTGATACTGCTGCTGCTGACGGCGAAACGACGAAGGCTGACGGCGAGCCAGCTAAGGCAGACGGCGAGACGTCGAAGGCTGAAGCCGAGGCTGTGACGACGCCTGCGAAAGACGCGAAAGATGCGAAGACGGACGAGAAGCCGGCGGGCGAGGAAGGCACGAGTCATCGGCGGCGGAAGCGCAAGAGCCTGTGGGACACCGAGGGCCCTGATGGCAAGAAACGTGCGTGCACACAGCAGCGTGCTGGGGGGTCCGTTCTCTATTCTCATCTGTTTTTCCAGTCCTCGTGTGCTTTTTATTATTATTATTATTATTACAGCATTTTCCAGATTTGAGCTGAACCACTGGTTACCCCCCGTCGACCTGCCATGCCGTATCAGAATCTTGCGTTGTTCCGTTTTCCGACTCTCTTTTTCCCTCGACCTTGTCTTTTTTCCGCAGTGGAGTCGCCTGCCGTCCTCGCATCACCCAGCGCAGCCGGTATCTTGCCCGGAGCCGTTTCCCCCGCGATTTCCGGTATCCCTGGCTTGCCACTGGGTGCTGGCATGCTCCCCGGTGCTGCCGCTGCGATGATGATGCCCGGAGCAGCCATGGCGCAGCAGGCGCAGCTGCTGCAGCAACAGCAGCTCTTACAGGTGATTCTAGAGTCTGGAGTGTTTTTTCTCTAACGGTGCTGGCATGCTCCCTGGTACCGCCGCTGCGATGATGATGCCCGGAGCAGCCATGGCGCAGCAGGCGCAGCTGCTGCAGCAGCAGCACCTCTTGCAGGTGATTTAAGAAAACTTAAATCTGAGAAGAGGGGAGGGGGAAGGAGGGAGGTAATTTGAGATTTTTTTTACCATTTTCTGATGAAGAAGGGAGAAGGGGGGGGAGGGGGGGGGGAGCAAGAAGTGGGGTGAAGATGTTTTTTCTTTTCTTTCTTTTTCCTTTTCTTTTTTTTGGCCTGTTTCTATCTCGATCACCGTCGTTGCTTCTACATCTTGTGCACAAGTAGTTACCCGTTTCATCTGTGTGACTTTTGAGTCGGCTCAAAGTCACCAAGTAGTTACCCGTTTCATCTGTGTTTCTGAGGCTCCATTTGTCCCCCTCGTTTCTCCGTGATCTCCGTGGGTGCGCAGATGCGAGCGTTGGCTCAGGCGAAGATGGCCGAGGCAGCAGCGGTGCAGCAGCAGCAATCCACAGTCACTCAGTCGAATGGTGAGTGCGCTTTGGGCGTTCTTACACCGCATGTGAGTGAGGCAGCAGCGGTGCAGCAGCAGCAATCCACAGTCACTCAGTCGAATGGTGAGTGCGCTTTGGGCGTTCTTACACCGCATGTGAGTGAGGCAGCAGCGGTGCAGCAGCAGCCACCACGTGTGACCTCGAAAGAGTATTTTGCTAGACTGCCCAAAACAGCCTAAATGTTCTCTTTGTCCCTATGCCCCTTGCAGCCCAGTGCCGCATGTACGTGGGCAGCATCTTCTACGACCTCACAGAGGCGGACGTTGCCCCCTATCCTCTCCTCTCTCTCCATCTCCATGCCCTCGCTCCTCCCCCCCCACCCCCCCCCCCCCCCTTTTATCCCTCCCATCTGGCGCCCCTTGCATTGCAGCCCAGTGCCGCATCTACGTGGGCAGCATCTTCTACGACCTCACAGAGGCGGACATTCTCCTCGCCTTCTCCCCTTTCGGTACGCTCATGCGTTTTTGTGTAGTATGCTGGTGTGCTGGGGTTTGGGGGCGACTGGGAGAAAGGGAGAGAAAGAAAGGGCGTGTGCGTGTCTGGGGTGTGACTTAAACGGGGTTCGTTCGGATACAGGAGGGAGTGGTAAGAATGTATTATGTAATGGTGTTTCTAAGGTCCTTGCAACTTAACCTCTGTGCGCGCCGTTTGTGTGTTCCCCCGCGCAGGTCCTATCACCAAGATCGACATGCCTAAGGTTTGTCCTTCTTCAATCAACCCATCCGCCCGTCGACCACCCACCAGTCAACCCTTTTGCTACCTTTGCTTTCTTCAATGACTGATTTTCAAGTTCAACCCACTAGGCTGGAACAGCCCTGGGATTCCATCCCCCTTTCCTGCATTCCCTCCTGCGCACTGCATGCGTTCTCCACCTGTTTCTGCGCCTCCCGCGCATGCACCCGCTCGTGCAATCGCGCTACCTCCTTCCGTCCATTGCCTCGACGCGTCCCATTTGTTATCGTGTTCTGCTGAAACGCCTTCAAACGCGTTTTTTCTCTCTCTCTCTCTCTCTGCGTACCACTTCTTATAACGCCATCCCACTCGTTCCTTCTGCCCTCACTTTCCCCCCTTTCTTCCGTCTTCTTCCTCGTTCTCCCCCCCCAGGATGCGAGCACGGGCAAGCACAAGGGCTTCTGCTTTGTCGAGTTCACCTCCCCCGAGGCTGCCTCCACCGCCATTACTGCTGTAAATGACTTGCCTTCTTCTTCTCCTCTCTCTGGTCGCTCCCTGTCCTCCCCCCCCCCTTACACCCCAACCCCCCTTCTCTACAGGATGCGAGCACGGGCAAGCACAAGGGCTTCTGCTTCATCGAGTTCACCACCCCCGAGACTGCCTCCACCGCCATTGCTGCAATGAACGACTTCACCCTCGCTGGACGGTACTTGCCTATTCCCATCTCCCATCCTCTGACTTAGCTATTTTCCTCCCCACTCTCACCGTTTAATGCGCCCCAAAAGGCCCCCCGGACTGCCTCCACCGCCGTTGCTGCCATGAACGACTTCACTCTTGCCGGACAGTACTGAGCTCTTTTCCGTCCCAATCTCGCCTTTTGAGGCCCCCATAAGACCCCCGAGACGGCCCCTACCGCCATTGCTTTGCTGCCATGAACGACTTTACCCTCGCCGGAGGGTACTTGCCTTCTCACACCACACCACACCACACCCTCGTAGGCCGCTACTCGTTTTTTCTCGCTTCACTCTCACTGGGCGGTCCCCCCACCTACTCTCCCCCGAGACTACCTCCGCTGCCATCCCTGCTATGAGACGACCCCCTACCTCACCGGACGGTACTTAGCTTGCTCTCACTCTCTCACATGTTGTTCGCAGTGGGTCGTTGTTGCGAGTTGCTGCGAGTTGCTGCGACTTGTTGTACTCGCCCGTTGCTCATTGCACGGTTCATCCATGCTAAGGCGCTTCATTAGTGCAAGATGAGCGTGTGTTTTGAGTCGACTCAAAAGTCTACTCGCCCGTTGCACATTAGTGCAAGATGAGCGTGTGTCCCCCGTGACTCACAGTCTAACTGGCTCTCTCCTGTCTTCTCAGTTCGCTGTTTATCTTGGCTGATCATTGCTAATCATTGTCTTTTGGCCTTTCTCTCTGTACGTGCGTATTTCTTCCCTCCTCCCCTCCTTCCCTCCTTCCCTCCTTCCCTCTCCTTTCTTTTGCGTGCATTTGTCTTTCTCTTCTCTTCTCTTCTCTTCTCTTCTCTTCTCCCCTTTTTTTGTTTGTACTTTTCCTGCGTCCGTGCGTCTCTTTGGCCCCTACGCCTATATCTGTTCTTTCATACTTGCCTGCTCTTGTGTGCTTGCCATTCATCCTGCCACAGCAACCCCCCCTCTCCGTCACATTTTATCAAACCACCACACATGCGTCCTCGTTACAAGCACATCGCTTTTCCGCACTCCTCAGCACATTTGAACCCTCTCCCACTCGTGCGAAGTGCTTAAACGCCGGACCATACCAAACTCGCATTCTCTTAAACTCCGGAGCATACTGAACCCACATACTCTTAAACCCTGGCGAACCAGTGCCTCCACTCCACGGTGCAAGGGGGCCCTGCGTCTGATGGTTTGTGGCTCTAAAGCCCATTTCTTTCTATCCGCGCTATCTTTATCAGCGCTTTTTATATCGAGCACATCGCTCCCCATAACCCTGCATGGTTGCAAAAACACTGCTGTTTCCATTCTGCCACTTCTTCGCAACTGTTCACACATGAGCGGACCTCAACCTCTCATCCTAGTGTCTGCGTCTCTTCCCCTGCCTTCTGCTTTCCTCCCGTGCTCCTGCCCTCCCTCCCACCCTCCCTTCCTTCCCCCCCTACCCTCCCCGCGCATCAGGCGCATCAAGGTCGGTCGCCCCAACAACATTGCCTCCCCCTCTCCTGCCGCGCAAACCATTGCCAACCGTGAGTTCTCCTAAATACTTTCTGCCATCATATGTCATCTCTCTCGCAATTACCCCACTCTCCCCCCCTTCCCCGCCTTCATTCCCTGCATTCTTGCTGCAAGGCTTCTTTTCCATGCCAGTCGAGACTATGTTGTTGTTCCTCTTCTGCTGAATCAATCATGCATGCATGAGGAGTCTATTTTTGAGGCGCCTCAAAGCAAGGCTTCTTTTC